CTGAGCTGTGAGCTCTCCAAACCTGGGGTCCAAGTGGAGTGGAAGAAAGGAACCCGGATCTTGAAGTCCAGTGAGAAGTACCAGATGAAGCAGAAGGCTTCTATGAATGAACTCCATATTACCAAAGTGGTTCCAGAAGACAGTGGAGACTACAGCTGTGTGTGTGGAGACCAGAAGACCACTGCCAGTCTAAACATAAAGGGTAGGAGGATGTGTGATCTGTGTCCCTGCATTGTCATAAAATGGATTATTCATATTTGATTTCAAATTTTTTAAATTTGATCTTTACTGTATGAACTTATTGAATAATTGTCCTGAACTTGTGTTACTGTGAATTTTGTCTGGATTGTCTGGACACTTGTTTTTGTTTGTGTCRTCTTAAATGTGTTTGTGGTTGTTTTGTTTTCGTTTCTGTTTGCTTGTTCATGAATAGGCTTTTCTGTGCGTCTCACACCATATTTACTGTACTGTCTATGTTTGTGGAACAGCAGGTTGAAAATTTGTCCTTGATTCATTTTGATGTTCGGTGTTCAGTGCTGTGAAACTTTGTGTTCTCTGGTTTCAGCAGCATCAGCTTTACTTTTCTGCAAATTTTTTGAACATCGCACTTTTGCAGTCCTTGCTTGTTGTTGCTTCTGTTTGTAATTTTATTGGTTGTATTGTTGACTATAAACATTGGATGTCTGCTTGTATTTATCTTGGTCTGGACAACAGATAGTTGTGATGTAAGGGTTTTTATTCTGTATAATTGTCCCTGAACTTGTTGTTTGAACCATTTGTCAGGTTATATTTAAAAGTACAAGGCAAATAATCAAATATTTCATGGTAGACTCAGCTGTTACTATTTTCTCTCAGTTCTGAAGCCGTCCATTCCTACTTCAGCTGCTAAACCAGAAACCAAGATGCAGGAGACCAAAGAAAAAACAGGAGGTATGAAAAAGACACTAAGGACAATTTGAAGCTTTATGTTATGTCTATTCAGATAATAGCCCTTGTGTTGCTAGTTAAAATATGTTTGGACTTTGTCAATGCAGTTTGTGATAGATTGCTTAAGTTAAGATTGTTGTATTTTTCACAAGATTGACTCTTTTTAGCTATTTCATTGGGAAATCACAAATAAGATTCTTCACCTTTAATGGATGTCATACTAACGAGTCAAATTATACCTGTCTTTGCTCAAGTTTGTTTGCCTACAGAATAGTCTCTTATGTGGTTTATTTCAATGTGCACGTATTTTGATATTACAGTATCTTGATATTACGTACACAGTTTTAATGGAGCTTATAGTTTCACAGTTTGCAACCACAATTCTTTATCTAGTGTTGTTGTACAGTATCTGCACTTGCATTTCAGTTACAATGGGTGACTTTTCTTCTGTAGCTGCTAAAACCTCTCAGAAGAGGCAGGAGATATGTGAGACAGTAGAAGGTAATCTTTTCATGATTCTTTTGACTGCTCTTTTGTTCAGCAACATTATAAGGTGTCCTGCTGTTTTACTCAGTTTTAGTTTTGGCCTAAATATCTGTTTTTGGCTTGCTTCACATTTTTTTGTCCTTGTAAATGAAATGGCTGATATTTGATCTGTGCACGTGGACACGTTTGAACCCATCAGCTGTGTCTCTCTCTTGATGAGACTTGAGACCTTCACGCGGCTGCTGCTTTCTTGTGTGAAACTGAGATTTTTTTTTTTTTGATCGTTATAGCTGTGACAATGCCGGCTACAGGAGAGGCACCTAAAGAGCAGCTTCTCAAACAGGAGGTTCAGAGAGGTTCAAGAGAGCTTGAAATGGGACGTGAAGGTAATGTGATAAGTTTGCACGTCTTTGTTGCAAACTCTGACATCTGTCAGTGCTAAAGACATGCAATGGATGGAAATGGCAAACTAGTTTGGCTTGAGTGTGCTGCAAGGTCAGGGGCTAAAATTCGCAGTGATGGAGGGTGTCCATTTTTTTGCCTTTAGTTCATCATTTTTTGCTTTGTTCTTTTTTTGGGGGGTGGGCGGGGCAATCTAGGCATTATTTTGTTTCTATATGGCATGTTGGCACTTTGTTCTGTGAGACTAATTTGATCTGTGAGAAGACAACGGCCTTTATAGATTTTTTTAAATAAGTGTTAATTGCTTCCTTTTCTCACAGACATCTCTTTGACTTTGACTGTTACTGACAAATTGTATCTGACAGCAGAGTTGTAAGCAGGTTTTTGTAATGTGGGCATTGTTTCTCAGTATACCTGTTTTTGTGGCTCTGGCTGCGTGTTTTGTTTGGGTCAGTGAACACATCTCTGTCAGGCTGTGAGGTTAATGTTGTGTTTTATCCCAGCTGAGAAGACTTTTGCTGAAACAGCTGTCAGGGAAGATGCTCAAAGCCAGAGGACCAAAGATCAAGGACAAGGTAGCACCTAATTGATGTTTTGCTTCTTGGCTTTTGTACGTTGTTGCCACATTCCTCTCTGTCGCTGTGTTGCCTGTTTTGTTTTCTGTGTTAGTTTTGTTCTGATAAGGTAATTAAATTAGAAAAATTCTATATTAGACATTGTTGTTGATTTACAAGTTTGTTTTCTTTTATAACACTTTGTCATTTGATTTGGATTATAGAAGCAGAATTTATATTTAAAATTTCCCTTGATTTGCATTTCATGCTGTTACTGTGAATGGCATGATTTTATTATGCTTGTGGATTGCGGCAAAACTATGAAAGAAAAATATTTTACCCTTTGTGGGTTTTAGTGTTCTCTTGTTTTTTACTGCATAAAGGCTGGTTATTGGCACATTTTTGGGGGATCCTATCAGCACTGTTTCTGTGTATGAGTACTAAGTGAAGTTTCGCTGTGCCAGATTTCTGTGTTCAATTGTTATAGCTGTGTCTTCATTAAAATGTGGTGCAGAGGATATTTCGTGATGAAAGTATCGTACGAGGCAGTCAAGACTGGTGCTCAGTGTGTAAACAAAAAACAAAATAAGGAAAATGGAAGTTTCAGTTCTGAGTTTCACTATTTTACCTTCACAAACTATTGATTTTATGTTGTTTTATCAATCCCAAGAATTTAATAAAATGCTCTTAAAATGGCTGGAAAATGCCCAGTTTTGAGTAAATCATAGAAAGTTTTTCAGAAGAGTTTATTTCTGGACCCTCCTAGAACTGCTTCACTCCACAGCTGCTCATTGACATGGTCAGGTGTTCCTCTTTGCTGCCAGACTTCTGGTATTCTGTTTGAAGTTGATTATATTGTTAACTATTTGAATTGCACAACCAGTTTTCTAAAGATGAAAAATAAAATAAAATCAAAGAAAATAACTATTTAACTTGATATGTGAATGTACAGTATGTGAAATGACGGTGGGATTAAGAAACACATTGCGCTGTGGGCACCACCTTGAATCTTTCCTAGGGCATCAAATTGGCTATAGGGCTGGCCCTAATGAGAGCAAGTGCTGAGTGAYTGTGAAAGTGGGTTGTTAAGAATAGATTGTAAGTACAAAACATGTTTAGAAGCAAAAAGTATGCACGAGTGTGGACCATTTAGTACKGAACACATTTAAGAATTTGTTTAATCTTGCTTTTTTGTTGTTTGTTAATAGAATCACAGCTGTACTGTTCTCTGTAATGTATCCAAAAATGCCGTTCATAAAGAAAAGCACAATAATGTGTYTTTTCTCATATCCTTTACAATTTTGATTTTGGAATAATTTTGTTTGCTAGTGGATGCTGATACATTTATMTGACCGTTAAGCCTTATATATTTTGGAATTGGGATCTTATTTCTACTTTTGGGCAACTGTGGCTCTGGGTGAAATTAGACAGTTTAAACTTGACTTTCATGCAACCATGAACTTGATGGATGGTTTTTAGATGTTGATAAAGATGTAAGATGTAAAATGCTGATGGGTAAATACGATAATKCAACCAAATATTTACCAACCAGATTTTCTTTTTAAAGGGTTACTCTATTGTAGCTGTGAAAAAATATRTAGTAATTCTTAGTGAAGTTTTTTGATTTGTAAACTTTTAATGACATGATTTTGCCGAGGTGAGTAAATACAGCACCAGTTGTTGTTGTACTTTGAATGCAYTCAGGCAGTCTGCCTGGCCAAATTATTTTTGGACTTACATTAGAGGGTAAACGGTGATCTTGACATATCATTTCTAGGYCCTACTTACTTTAGAATTCTAAACTAAAGCATTTGAATCATTCAATCCTCAGTTGTTCCGGTCGCATGCACTCGAGACCTGGTCGGCCAAGTTTGTGAGGAGGGAGGTAGTGTCACTTTTCTCTGTGAGCTTTCTAAGCCCGGACTTCCTGTACAGTGGAAGAAGGAAAATGAAATCCTGAGTTGTGGAGAAAAGTACCACATGAAGCGAACTGGACTGCGTTATGAGCTGCAGATCCTCCATTTGACTCCTGGAGACACAGGAAGATATTCATGCTGTTCAGAGGATAGTTCACTAAGCTCAGCATCTCTTGTAGTAAACGGTATGCACAGACTATCTGTGTCATGTCATCTTCTTCCATTAAGCCTTCCATTTTATGTCATATCGCATTTCTCTTCACCTTATGGTWTTTTTTCATTTTAGTTACCGATGTCATCGCTTATTGGTTATTTCTTTCTGTGCTTCAGCTCTCCCAGTTTTTTTCACGAGAGAGCTGGAAGGCCGGACGGCAGAAGAAGGAAGCAGTGTCACGTTACACTGCGAGCTTTCGAAACCTTGTGTTCCTGTGGAGTGGAGGAAAGGAGAGCTTGGCCTTTGTCCTTGTGCCAAATATGAAATTAGACAGACAGGACACATGGCTACCCTAGTAATCCACGATGTTGACCCTGAGGATTCTGGAAGTTACATGTGTGACACTGGTGAACATCAAAGCACTGCGCAAGTTGCTGTGAAGGGTACGGGTGCTGCAACCTGCCATTTAGCATAGAAATTCTTGAGTGAATTGTTTTTTCGAGCTTTCAGTACTGACTCAGTTTAGCCAGATCCTGCAGAACAATACCTCCACTCGCCCTTCTTTATTCCCCCTTTTCATCGACACATTGATTTGTGCAATTTAGCCATAATTGTGCTGTCGTTTTCCCTAAACTAGGCTCATTTTTTTAACTTTCCACAGCCAAACCTGTTCATTTCAAAACCAAGCTACAAAACCTGGAAAGGCAGGCAGGAGAAACGGCTTGTCTTCGCTGTGAGATCTCAAAACCTGGCGCCGGTGTGGTTTGGAGGTGTGGCAACAAGGTGCTCACAACTAGTAGCAAATATCATCTGAAACAGGAAGGAACGCTGGTCGAGCTTTTCATCTATAAACTGCAGAAAAGTGATGCAGGAGAATACTCTTGTGATACGGGCTACCAGAAGACCTCATCTGTCCTCTCTGTGAAGGGTAGGATGTCTTTATTCAGCACTTTTCCGCCCCCTGTCACCTTGTCTTGTTCACTTCTTCTCACAAACATCTGAGCATGATATTTATAAAAGTTTGATATACAGTCATGGTAGAGATTTCTTTTAAATTGCACTTTAATGATTGAAACTTCCTTCTAATGTTGTGAACCACCTAACATCACCTCCATTTCTCCCACTTCTACACTGAAGCTTGAACACTTGTTCCATCGTTTATGCTGGTCTCTTCTTCACAAATGCTAACCCACTAGAGCCCTTTTTGCTCAGTTTCCATCGCAGCAGCTCAGCAAAAATGCGTGCCACTTAATCAGTTTCGTGAAATTATTCTGTCAAACAGCTTCTGAGGTCAGCATACTGAAGTTCTTGGAGAGTTGCGTGGCAAGCGAGGGCGAAGACGTCCGCTTCGAGTGTCAGCTTTCCCACGAGGAGACGCAGGTCCAGTGGAAACTCCAGGATGTCCCGCTGCAGAATAATGAAATGAACCTGATCAGAACTGAGGGGCGGGCGCACAACCTCACACTTCGAGGTGTCACGGCAGCTGACTCTGGAACCATCACTTTCACTGTTGGAAACCACACGTCCACTGCTTCTCTGACTGTCCGAGGTAAGGGCCACAGAAGATGTTTTACTTCAAAGAATGAGAAGGAGCATTTGCTTCAACATAGCTTTTGGACTTTTTTCTTATTTACGCTCTACTTTTTTTTGCGTCACACAGTCGAGTTTCTAACAAGTTCTTCAAGGCATAATCCTTCCAGCACCTCCCTTTTCCATTTCATATTTGTGGATCTATTCCAAATCATTCTCTTTTAGGCTGATCTGACCACAGAACGAGCTTTTTCAGCCCCTTTTCTATCTATCTTTTACCTTTTCGTTAAGAAGTAAAATTACACATAAACATTGCTGATCTGTATATTTCTTTTTTTTATTTAACAGGAAAAGATTATTAAAAATCAAGCCTGACTCAGCATAATTGCTGTTTTACAGCAGGTTCCTGTTCTGCAGCACATAAACACTCAGAATTACAGCATCACAATCACATCATTATACACCAAAGACACAAAGACAAACAAGCATACCAAATTTCAAAAAGGCAGCATTTGTAAAATAGGACATCTAAATATGAGCACAACAAAAAGTGTCCAGCAGATGGCAGACAAGATTCTTCTTAAAGGGCTGTAGTTTTGAAATGGACTTAATGTTTTGAGGAATGTCATTCCATGCTTTAGTATAAACATAGAAGAAAGACCTCTGGCCGTAACAGTTTTTAAAAGTTGGTAATATCAGTTGTCGTTTTGTAACAGATCTAGTTGAATGACCACTTCCAGAATTTGATTTGGGCAACAATGCACAGAGAGTTCCATAATTGGCACCTTGGAAGATCTGAAAATATAAATTAATATCACTATACAAAACATAATTCTGAAAAGTCAAGGCATCAGACAATGAAAGAACTGTACAGTGATGAGTCCAACCAGGAAGTTTTTTTTATGAATTTTGTAGGCCCTGTTGTAGAGCCTAACTATGGGTTCTAAGATTTTATTTGTTGTAAGAGACCAAACAGGTAAACAGTACGACATGGTTGAGAGTATAATGGCATGAATATACGGTAGATATTTGAAACAGAAGATGTCAGATTGGATCCATCCATCCATCCATCCATCCATCAATCCATTTTCTGTACACGCTTCTTCCTTTTCAGGGTTGCGTGGGTCACTGGTGCCCAAATCCAGCAGTCACAGTGCGAGGGGCAGGGTACACCCTGGACAGGTCGCAAGCCCATCACAGGGCAGATTAGATCTAATTTATAACAATTAAGTGCCCCAAGTTTTCTGCGGGTTGTATTTTAATGACTCTCTTTAGTTCAACACTTTTTTCCCTTCAAATAATTTTTCACAGAAAGTAAGTACTTGTATTTTGTGCTTTCCAGCAAGTACACACTGACCATATGGCATTTATTACAATAATTCTGAAGGGAAACGTTTAAAGATAGGTTCCATGTCTGATTTTCCTTTTTTTTATGTAGTCACCTCTGTTTGGTCTATATGATGTGAAATATGTTTTTGTCCGATAATCTTTTAGAAAACAAGGACATCATGCAGCACTAAAACCAAAAAGAAAAATGTATTACTTGGTATTAATGATTTATGATTCAGTGTCTCTCCTCATACATGATGGTTGGTTGATTGAAGATGACATGTTGTCTTAAAAGCTTTTTTAATGTTCTGTCTTACGTGTTTTGATGTCATGCAGTCTTTAAAATGTGTTGCACCGTTCATATAAATAATCTTGCCTTTGCTTACAATTATTTATTTTATGAAGACAAAGTTCACCTCTGAGCCTTTATGGCACTTTATAAAAATATTCATCCTAATAAATTGGTCTGTCTGACAGCGGCACCAATAACCTTCAAGAAGGAGCTGGAGAGTCAAGAAGCCAGAGCAGGAGGCGAGGCCACGCTGTCCTGTGACACGTCCAGCCCTGACAGCAAGGTGACCTGGTGGAAGGGCTCAACTGTACTCTCTCAGGGCGAGAAGTACACCATGCAGCAGAAAGCTACCGCTCACAGTCTTGTTATACACAAGCTAAGCATGGAAGATAGTGGTGAATATACCTGYGATACGGGAGACAGAAAAAGCACTGCTACCCTGACTGTTAAAGGTAACAGAATACGTATTTATCAACCCCCTTTTTCTTTTCTGAAGTTCATTTCGCAAACCAGCTCATGATAAAGCTCCAGATTAAATTTATATCTCCCACTCAACATCTAATTCTCTTGGATTCCATAATCACAGGGGGAAAAAGCAGCATTTCAATTCAATTCAATTCAGTTTATTTATATAGCGCAAAGTCACAACATATGTTGTCTCAGGGCACTGTACATAAAAAAGAACAATCTAAAGAAGAAGCCAGCAGGCTGCATTGAATCACTTCATCACAATCACCAAATCAAAACCACCAAAACCAGTCCATCTGAACAACTACAAAAAAATACAGAAATAAAATAATACACAAACTTTAAATTCCTGTCAGTGTCGAAAAAACAAGGCATAGACTGAAAAAAGTGTAGGTAGAAAGCCTAAGCTTTTTATACCTTCACTTTTTATTCATACAGTATCAAAATCAAATCAACATCTTTCTTATAGATTTTATAAAATAAAATTTCCAATGAAATTCTAACCATATTTGTAACAAAATTCTAGCAGCAGTAAACAGTCAGTCAAAACTTCATATATTTCTGTAACAAATAATTTTTATACATTATTTTAAATTTAGTTAGTGAAGAACACAGTTTTAACAATTCACAACAATTATTCCAAACACAAATCCCTCTAACAGAGGTACAATTATTTTTAATACTTGTCCTAACCTTTGTTTTTCTAAATAAATCTTTCTTTCTGAATTTATAATTAGTTTCTTTAATTTCGAACCACTTCTGTTTACAATGTGGAAGGACTTCAGTACTGTATAAGCTTTGTACATTGTCAATGCTGTTTAAGTTCTACTAAATCATAAAATTTTAATATAGTAATATGWTGTATTTAAAATCGAAAGAAATTAAAAAAGTGAAGCCCCAGTTTTAAAGTTTTATGACTAAGGAATAAAAAAATCAATAAAAAAAAGGAATCTGGTGCCAATCAGGTTCAATATTTGATGAAATACAACTTCAGGTGAACAAATGTGTTGCATATTACACTGTCAGATCATAAAATAACTGGAGAATTACTACATCCATAAGTATATTTAGTGCTACTAAAATTAGTGATCTCTATACAATATCAGCAAGTGCATCCCATTTAATTTTTGGAGATCAAACTTTTGCAAGATAACGACTAAAATGAAACTCCTGCTGATGACTTCATAGCAGTACGTGTCAGAGGATCTGCTCAGATCTGATTTCTGACCTCCCATTCACTCTCAGAGCGTGTGCGCATCGTCCGAGAGCTCAGCGACRTCACCGTGACCTCCGGCCAGGACGCCGTCTTCGAGGTTGAGCTGTCACACACGGGAGTCAGTAATGTGGAGTGGTGGCTCAGCGACAACCTCCTTCAAAATAATGATCTGAACCAAATGAGTAGCCAAGGCAGAGTGCACCGACTGGTTCTGAAGATGGTAACCGCAGACGATTCGGGTGATGTCGCCTTTGTCGTGGGAGAGGAGAAGAGTGTGTCTTTTCTTCTGGTAGAGGAGAAACCAAAAGGTAAAGGAGATGACATCAGGAAGTTTTACTTAGATTAATCTCCATCAACAACCAAACAGTTTAAAAAGAAAATGAAAAAAATAATTCATCATTAACCTCAAGTTTTATTTTATTCTTACTATAAGTATCTTATCATTTCAAATCACTGCTGATAAGATAACAAATTAAATCAATTCAGAGATGAATTTAATACTCTTATTGAATGTCTTAAAGCAGGATGGGTTACAATTTTTAACTCAACAAATGCACACTTTTTTAAACATAATAATTATTTGTGTAAAACGTGACCGTGACAAAAAAATAGTAATCCACTCACATTCTCATTGATTTATAACTCTGATCAGACGGGTAATACGGGATGAGAAAAGACTGCGTTTAAATCACATCTTTCTCATATTTTCAGTGCTGATTTTAGAGAAGCCACACGACACTGTGGCAATAGAAGGGGAAATGGTCACTCTTGCCTGCTGCATCTCGGACCCAAACGCTACAGTCAACTGGATTAGGAACAAAGTGGCCATCCGAGCAGGTCTCAAGTATGACCTGAAGAAGAACGGAGCGTTCCATCAGCTTTGTATCCACAACCTGGTAACTGAGGACGCAGGAACATACACCTGTGACACTGGAGATGYACAGTGTGACGTCACACTGACTGTGCAAGGTAAAACCCCACTCCTGCTGTTTAAAAAGAATGAAGTGATCAAATTCAAGACTGGACAAAAATAACTGAAGAACCTCCATTTCTCTCATAACAGCAAAACGTTTATTTAAAATCATGAACCTTTTTTCCCCTCGTCATTGTCTTTTACTTAACCAAACCTTTTCGTCTCAGCATCTCACACCGTACTTTACCATTTCAACCTCACCAGGTGCTCCAGTGTTCTTCCGGAAAGAGCTCAAGAACCAGGACACTATAGAGGGTGACGATATCACCCTGCACTGTGAGTTGTCTAAGCCAGGTGTTCGCGTCGAGTGGCGAAAAGGGGGCGTTGTCCTCCAGCCGGGTAACAAGTATGAGATGAAACAGGAAGGGCGCGTTCGAGAGCTCTGTATACATAACCTGGAGCCTGAGGACAGTGGCTACTACACCTGTGATGCAGGAGACCAGCTCACTACAGCTTCTTTGGCAGTGCAAGGTAGTCTCCCTGCAGTTTTGTTGTGTTTGTCTTTGTCTGTCTGCTAAGATGTTGTCTTGTTTTTGTCAGGAAGCTAAAGGGTGTGTGTGTGTTTTTCACTCAACAGTGAAAGAGGTCCTCATTGTTTCTGGTCTTAAGAGCACTGACGTCTTTGTTGGGGAGTGGGCAACTTTCTCCTGTCAGCTGTCCGGTAGGGCACCATGCAGGGTGCAGTGGTGGCTGGATGGCACCTTGTTGGAGAACTGCCCCTCTGTAGAGATAGGGCAGGAGCAAGGTTACATTCACACGCTCACCTTTAAGAACCTCGCAACAGATGACTCTGGCACTGTCACCTTCAAAGCAGGCAGTTTATCCTCAACGGCCAAGCTCTTAGTCAAAGGTATTATAATCAGGTTTCTCAGCTATTTGAACTCTGCAGAATTCAGGTATTTTATTTAAACTCTAGTAAACATAATATGCACAAAACATGATGTCATATGGCTGTGACTTCAGCTGGTGTGCATATGTTTAATCAGTTTTCTGCAGGGTTCTGTACGAACGTCGTTGATTTGAGATTTCACATCCCATTGCTTAATCACGCATGAGCCACATTGTTTCTGATTTTATTAATCAGTTTCATGTTGTATGCTTTGTTGTTATGAACAACTGGGTGCAGCACCACAAGAACTTTTAGTACTGAACAGAAATTGGTTACAAATTGTGAGATTTTTGTGCTCGCTCTTAAAAATGTGCTTTTAATGTGGGGGTGTGGCTGCTGAAATTTAAAAAATAATAATAAAAAAAACATAATCACGATTATGTTTACCACTTTTTAAATCTCATCATGAGTACATATCTTTTTTCAGGATAAAATTTTTACTTTTGTTGTTACCTTCATAGTTACATTTTGGACTTTTGTTTAAATTACATTCATTTTAAGAAGTCGGATTTCACGTTTATTCTTGTTATTGCATCTAGACAGCATTGAAAAAATGGCATGACTTGTTAAATTTTGCAGTAAAAATCAGTCAGATTATCATTCTGTTACTTGCTTCTRAACTGGTATCTTGAGTGATGTGTGTGTTTCTTGATTTAAATTTTAATTTAATGCCACTTTACTGATCTCAATACTGCTAATGGATCTTTAAAACAGCTTTCTGCAGTCCATTTGATTTTTGTTGTAATAACCATTTTGTTAACAGTTCTGACAAATAAGTAAATGTTGTAAACCAGACACATTTAGTGTAAAAAGCTACAAAGCATGATCGTGATTATTAAATGGTTAGCAGTGCAGCCCTAAACAGGATGTATGTCTCTGGTAAAAAGCAAAAGGATCAATTATTAAGTTTTTGGATCAAGTAAAAACAATTCTATAGCAACTAGGTATTGTGTTTTTGATTGATTTAGATTTAGTTTTATAAAATAAGTAACATCAGARTGAGAAAATCTTTAAGTGCTGCTCCACCCATCCATACTGGCCAGATGGTTCACTCATCTTTCTTTACACAAAGCACTRTCCCTAACATTCAAGCTCTCAAACTCTCTAACCCTCTGACAACTACAAAACTATAGTTTGACCTTGTTTTTCTGTCCACTTATCACCCCCTCCTCTTTTATTAGCGTTGTTGGATTTTTTAATGTGCTGTGATCATTGGTCAACATAAAATTTGAATCTATAATCTATAAAAAAGTCAGCAGTATCACTGACATACAAGCATGCTTTGGGGGGTTATAAGGCTTTGTGTCATTTGGCATGTCCCGGTCATATCCTCAATTCATGGCCAAGCCCTGAATATGACCTCCCTAAACTTCCAAAACCCTCCCCCTCAAACCCCCTCACCCTGACTCCAATCTCAGACCCCACAGTTGAAGTGGTGAACAATATGGAGGACCTTTGGGTGGTTGAAAACCAACCTGCTGAGTTCATCTGCCAGTTCTCGAGGCCAGTCAAGGCTCAGTGGAGGAAAGACGGGCAACCTTTGAGGCCTGATGGTCGAAGGGTGGTAGTGGAGCAGGACTGGAGTGTGGCTCGCTTGTACATTAACCGCGTGTCCACTGAGGACATGGCAACATACTCCTGTGAGGCAGAGGGCACCTGTGTGGTTGCTTCACTTTATGTGGAAGGTGAGCTTTCCTCCACATGGGTACAAACGACTAAGCTTTTAGGGAATCTCTTTTGCTATGTCAAACAATACTGTAGTTTGACCAAATAAACTGGTCTTTTACTGAACTTTATGAAGTTTGAGCTCTTTTTTGACAAAAGCTTTAGTTTTTTATTTAATTCACAGACTTGTAGTTTCAGTTTGATCCTAAATGTGCTTCTTTTCTTTTTTTCCCCTCCTCTTCACAGTCAAACCCATTCACATTGTTCAAGGCCTGGAGGATGTGGAAGCTCTTGCTGGAGGTGAAGCACTTTTTGAGTGCGCCCTGTCTCGCCCTGAAATCAAATGTTGCTGCTGGCTTTTAGATGGAAAACCAGTGAAAGAATCCTCTAAGGTTGAGGTTGTGTCATTTGAAAGTGGCCGTCGCCATTTGCTCCTCTTGAAAGAGCTGTGTGTAGAGGACAGCTGCACTGTGACCTTTAAAGCTGGTACCGCGTCCACCACTGCCCAACTCACCGTCAAAGGTTAGTCAAACAAATCTAGACAAGACAATAAAGGACATGATAGATATTATTTAACATGCAAAGTGTTGTTTCATCTTTTGTTTTTTCTTCGTAAGAAATAAAGCTAGAGATCGTGAAGGATTTGGAGGACAAAGTGATCGCAGTGGGAGAGGATGCTGAGCTCTGTGTTAAGCTGAATGAGCCTGTCCCTGCATCAAAAGTGCTCTGGCGTGCTAACGGAGTTGATATAGAGCCTAGTGACCACTGGGCCATGAGGGCTGATGGCAGCTCTTATTACCTCGTCTTGAGACGGGCTCCTCTCATGCCTCGGCAGGAAATTACCTTCACCGCTAAAAACGCTTTTGCTTGGGCYTTCATTACAATTATCAGTAAGTGTTTGATTGGCAGGACCTTATTACTTATCAGCAACCATGTCTGAAGCTGTTTGTTGCTGCAGTACCTTTGAACTTTTGCTTTTTAGAGTAYGAACTGTTGTCTTAGATGTGGTGTTCATTAGATCGTTATATGACTGGTCATTTTGAACCCAACAGCTGTACCCGATCCTCCGGAGGAGCCAGAAGTCCTCAGCAAGACTACAGAATCAGTCACTCTGTCTTGGTTCACCCCGCTTCATGAYGGAGGGAGTCCCATTCTGGGCTACAGAGTGGAGATGCGACTTGTAGATAGTGCCCTCTGGCTTCCATGTCATTCCGAGCCTGTTTGCAATACAGAGTTTGTGGCAGAAAATCTTACCCCAGGGAGTGGCTACAGGTTTAGAGTGGCCGCCATCAACAGAGCAGGGACCGGAGAACCCGTTGAGCTTCCTCTGACCATACAGCTTGGTGAGTGGCATACATTTTAATTAAAGGGACAATATTATGTGTTTCTCAGGCATATATTTAAATACTATACCATAATAAAGTATCTATGTC